ATATTCATACATCTATCTATCCTCAATTAAATTTCATCCCTCATCTCGTATTCTTTCCTAAACTGAAATCAGAACTCTTCTCTAAATTGTTTGTCGAACTGGTGGAACCCAAATTCGAAACCAGTAACCTTTATGAATGAGTTTTAATGTTTATTTTATTTGCAATTTTTTTAGACTAATCGATAAAACTCATCCATAAAGCATATTGATTTTGATTTTAGGTTACACCAGGAAGACTAATAATTGAGAAAGGAGTGATCATTTCAGTTTTGGGTTTAAACCTTCAAACTCAGCGACGAAAAAAGATTGTGAATTTACAATTTCATCCGCGTTCTTAACGAAAATTTTAATAAAAGACCATTCGCGAAAATAAATCTAATAATTGGGGACTAAATTAGTAATATTTGATATGTATGGACTAAATATGTAAAACGACCTATAACTGAGGACCTTTTATGGAATTTACTCTAAAATGTACTTTTGAAATATCAAATTTTTATAACATTTAATTATTTTAAACTATATTTAATTCGTGGTCAAAGAGTGCCACCGTTTGACCCAAAAAATCAAACTATGACAATTTTTTAGTAATGGAGGGAGTTTTAAAATAAATAAAAATGATAAAATCATTGATAGAATTAGGGGTTGGCATGGATTGGGACGTTGGGTATATTCGAGATATAGAGTTTTCAGTACTCATTCTTAAATCAACGTTTTATCCGATTAAAGTATTTATGCATACCCTGAAATGATTTTAACCTGAAAGCATTTTCTCACACAATTCGTTTAATCAATCAAGTTCGTTCTTCGCGTTTTTAATGTTAAAATCAATTTAGGGGGCAGGCGTTAAGCCCATTTTCAATGCCCCTAATTTCAAAAGAACCATTTCAATTGCATACACCTAATGCTAGGGGTACACTCAAAGGTGTACCCCAAATGTACACCATCTCTTTCTCCACCACCCATTTTTATTTAATTTTTATTTATTTATTTATTTTGAATTTCTTGCCAATTTATGTGGATAAGGAGGGGGTGGAAGACATATGGGGTACACCTTTGATGTACCCCTAACATTTTTCTTTTATAAAATCCATGCACTCTTTCACAGATCTTTTTAAGAGTAAATTTCATAAAAGGTCCCAGTTATAGGTCGTTTTACATATTTAGTCTCTACGTATCAAATATTACTAATTTAGTTCCTCATTATTATATTCATTTTCACGAATGTTCCTTTGTTAACATTTCTGTTAAGAACGTGGATAAAATTGTAAATTTACACTTCTCTCTCTCCTCAATTAAGCTTCCTCCCTTCTCTCGTACTCTTTTCCAAACTTGACGCTGAGTTTGAAGCTCTAAATCCAAAACTGAAATGATCATTCCTCTCTCAATTATTAGTCTTCCTGATAGAACCCAAAATCAAAACCAATAAGCTTTATAGATAAGTTTTATCAGTTAGTCTCAAAAATTGCAAAGAAAATAAACATTAAAACTCATCCATGAAAGTTACTAGTTTCGAATTTGGGTTCCACTAGTTAGAGAAACAATTGAGAGAAGAGTGATGATTTCGGTTTTGAGTTCAAAGCTTCAAACTCAGTGACGGGTTTGGTAAAGGTGTGCAAGAGGAGGGAAAAAACTTAATTATGGAGAGAAAAAAGTGTAAATTTACAATTTTATCCACGTTCTTAACGGAAATGTTAACAAAGGATTATTCGTGAAAATTAATATAATAATTGGGGACTAAATTAGTAATATTTGATATATAGAGACTAAATATGTAAAATGACCTATAACTAGGGACCTTTTGTGGAATTTACTCTCTTTTTAAATATATTTTGTTGTTTTTTCGAGAAGATCTTTCCATTATTTTTTTAACAACTAAAATACCACAATTATCATATTCTTCCCGTCTAAAAATTTTATTCCCGATTCGGCTAGACAAGAAAATATTTTAGTACTTCCTTCGTCCCTGAAAGAATGTCACGGTTACTATTCTGGCCTCTCGATAACTTTTGTTTGTTTACTCGTTTTGGTTGGTCATTTGATAAAATAAAATATTCTTATCGCATCTTGTTTTGTAGAACTTTTCATATACTTTTGAATGGTGTAATTTTAATTTTTTTATTACTCTACCAATTTGAAAATATAATGATTTTAAAAGAGATGATATTTTGCATGTCGTTCGAAATGTTATACTCCCTCCGTCCCGGAGTATTCGTCCAGTTTTTACTTTTGGAACTGTATGTATAAGCCTAAATATAGTCATGTGTGATCTTGTTTGATTTGTCTTAACATATAGATTATTAATAAATAATTTCTATAACTTTTTAATATACAAATTACAAGATAAAATGATTTAAAGAAGTGTATTGGATGGTGTGTAAAAATGAAAGTGGACAAATACTCTGGGACAGAGGTAGTAAATAATTTGGGACGGAGAGAGTAGAATTTTTTCTTTTTGATCTAAGGGATAGATGAATTGATGGGAAGAGATAAAAACGGATCACAACTTTCACAAACAAAAGAAAAATGCTAGGGATACACCAAAGGTGTACTCCATTTGTCCCCACCCCCTCCATAACCACAAAAATGGGCAAGAATTTTAAAAAAAATTAAATAAATAAAAAGTAGATAAAAATAGGTGGTATAGAAGGGGGTGGGGGAGAAATGGGGTACAAGCATCAAACAAAATCATTGCATATGCACCAATTTCTTGCACGACCCGCCGACCAATCATTGTATAAATAACGAATAATGATTCGTGTTTTGACAAAAGAAAACGTGTTACAATGTCAGGCTTACACTGCTATTGTACTCTCTCCATTTACAAAATAAGTATATACTCCCTCGTCCCCTTTTAGATTACAATATTCTCTTTTAGACAGAATTAAAGAAAAGTCAAATCAGTATTTTTTCCCCCAAATAGTATAGGAATAGTGGGTGGGTGAGATTTGACATTGAAATGATAAAGGGGAGGGAGGATAAAAGAGTCCATTTAGTGTAAAAGTAAACACTTTGTAATCCTTTTTAGGACAAAAATAAGAAAGAATATTGTAATCTAATTGGGGACGGAGGGAGTATATATATAGAGTAAATAAAAAGTAAAACATACATATTTTAAAAAAATGTAATTTATGTACTTAAAAAGTGAAGATTACAAATTAGTACACTCTCTCTGTCATTAAAAGACTGTCACAATTTAACTTTTTTGATCAAATTGTGGTACTATTTTACCTCAAATTATGAAAAAAGTATTTTTGTTATAATTTAAATTTACTTATTTTAAAAAATAATTTTGAAATATTAAATTTTTATAATATTTAATTATTTTAAATTATATTTAATTTGTAGTCAAATGCTATTACAATTTGACCAAAAAGTTAAACTGTGACAATCTTTTAGGGGCGGAGGAGTAAATAATAATAATAATAATAATAATAATAATAATAATAGCAATAATAATTGCAATAATAATAATAATAACAATAATAATAATTAAAATATTAGTTTCACGAGTTGTAATAATAATATGAAAAATGCATGTGTATAAATTTTTAATAAGAGATCTACATGAATAAAAGTAAAAAAAATAGAAAACACAATAATAAAAGTCTTATGTCTTTTAAGACCAGAATAAGAATATAATAAAAGTGAGATATAACAATGCATGTTGATAGTGTAATGTAAAAGTAATAACAATGTAATATATCAGTGTGATCAGTCAACTGCTGGCAATTGGCGACATAACTCCAGTGGCAGATAATAGTGTGACAGTTGCAAACTTCCATATGTTAATGTGATGAGTGTGACAATGTAACAATGACAGTACATATGAATTCCTTTTGTTCTTAGAAGACATAAGACTTCTATTTTGGTATATTCATGCTTTTTTACGCTTATTTAAGAAATTAAACTATTTTTAATTCATAGTTGGAAGGAATTAAAAATAGTTTAAAGAAGCTAAAAGAAACAAAAAAGAGTAATGACACAATTGTGGCTCTTTCCGGAAAAGGGCCTAGTACCAGAGGTAGTACTAACGAATTAGGTGTCGGTGCGTTAATAAAGAAGAAGGTAGAGGGTGTAAATAATTGAAAGGGTAAAACTGGAAAGTCAATAACTTTATCACTTTACATTAAAACCCGTACAAAGTCAAAGTATAAAGATTCTAACGAACGCAGCGAGTAAATAACAATTAACACTATTTGTCTGTTACAAATATAAGTATGGAGTATGGACCGGAGGAAATGTTCCCACGCAATTTTTACAACAAATTCCAAATACCCATGGTTTGGAAATGAACCCATTCAAACATCGTAAACCGATGATTTAAAAATAAAAAAAAATGAAAACATCATAAACCGAAACAGACAATTTAAATTGGGACAAAGGGAGTAATAAAAGAATCTCAAAGTTCTTTCAACAAAACGGCATCACCCACATGTAACTTTTCACACTTCTCGAACAAATTTTGACAACGTTCAAATTCAATTTAAAAAATTAGATAAGAACTTGTCTTAGGATGAACTTATCTGTGACTAAAAGAACTTAAAAACTTGAAGAACTTGTCCATGGATGACTATCAATGGCAAGAATAATTTAAAAACAAAAGGCTAAAAAAGAAACTGACAACAAGCTCTATTTTATAAGATTCTATAAACAGAATTAGATAATAAAAAAGACTAGAAAAAGTTGAGGAAAAAAACATGGAAAAATTAAAAGAAATTGGAAGCAACTAGAACAAACATCGATAGGGGGTGAGATCCGGGACCAAGTAATGGATCCCCTCATCATTCGAGGGGGATTCTAGTTACAGCTTATATAAACAACCCACCGGTTCTATTTGAGTGGCCATGGAGGACATTGCCCCTCTACGGTGCTCTGTTCGTCAAATTGATAGTTCCTACCCCCGGTAAACCCTCCCCTCACCCCCACCCAGTCCCACCCATCTCCCCACCCACATCAATTGCACCTCGAAAGTTTAGTTGACTTTGACGGATAGCATAAAACCCATTCCCTAGTCTAGGGAAACAAAGCATCTTATAACCCATTCCCAAGTCAAATTATATATGGGATAAGTATATGTTTTATATACCATTACAGTTACAAAAGAGAATTTACATTATGGGGAAGTGAATATCATGTTCAAAGTTGAAAGTACAAAGAAAAGCTATGGTGAAGATACCAGGGAAAATGGAGAGCTTCTTTATCTGCTTGAGGTTTCTTTGTACCCTCAAAACACCTCCCCAAAGTGAACACACTCTCCATTCACACAGGTGGCCCATAATTTCTGGTTTGGGAATAGTTTGATGGCCTTCTCCCTTCTTGACCTGTTATGTAATGGGGAAAATATATCAACCATACATTCATTTCATTACAAAAAAAAGTCAAGTTTTATTTAGGGACGACCAAAAGTAGAAACAGGTAAGTTTATTGAGTGACGATAAGAATACTACTCAACTGTGATACTTCACTTTAATATATGGGAAAATAACTAGCTTTGGCCTAAGAGGTACTCCATATATTGTATTGCCATGTTATGAAATCAACATAGGGAGGAGATATGAGTAAAATACCAGACTGCCGTTCCACATTGGGGATGCTCGTGGGAGGGGGTGTCCATGTGCCAGTTCCAGAACCATGAGTCTAAGATGAACAAATCATTAAGAATTGAAGGTGCATATGGTAAATATATCTGAACTAGCATACAGTTACATCACTTACAAGAGATCTACGAGGAGGAGCTTCCATCTCCGTTTGCTGGTATTTCAAAATAGTCCAATCAAAAACATAGTCATACTCAAAGCCTGCATAGGAAAAAGAAAAAATTGTACACCTGTATGTTACTAAGGTTTAAGGAGGGTGGGGGTGGGGGCAGTGAGGAGAGTACACACACCGTCCCCAGACACTAGTTCTGTGGATTCTGAAGGGTTTTTTTAAACGCCGATTTTATTACAAGAAAACTAAATACACGTTCTGGGAGGACTAGACCGAAGCCCCGAAGGTAAGACAGGTTACATGGAAGCCGAAAACAAAAGTCAAAGCTTACAAAATAGACTAAAATAAGAAAACAAAGAACATCCCAGATCATGCCGGGATTTGCAAATCATCTACCCTCACCCGCATGTGGTTTGTTTGGTTTGATTTGTCTTGGTCGTAATGAGTGTAACTAAACCTAATGCAAATCTTACTATGAAATGGAGCGAGTATTTACTTTAGGTATTCACCTTGGCGGGTAAAGAGATCACGGAAATGTCTCCTCAGATAAGCATAATCAGGTTTGTCTTCAAAGCGCAGTGAGCGACAGTAATGAAGATATGAAGCAAACTCCGTAGGGTGCCCACGGCATAAGGCCTATAATAAACAAAAGTTCAGCAGCTCCCCTTTCACACACCAACTCAAAAATTCTAGTAATCATGCATTCAAGATTGCAAATAGATTACCTCAATAGATATGGACATCTTCATTCCACTAATTCTTGCATACTTTCCTCTCTTATTCCCTGCCTTTATTCCCTGCCAGGGAAGACTAATAAATATGTGTCAGAAGAGATTCTAGGCAAAACATTTTGAAATATGGATGTAAACGATTAGAGATATGCATTGAGTGATTAGGGCCGAGATCAACCGATCGACTAAATTTGATGTAGAAGTGTTTGTCTGCCTCTAATTGCTTTTGGCATACTTAATAAAAAAATGAATTTGTATGGTCGAGATTTATTTAGAAAGGAAAAAAAATTATATCAATCACACAATTCTTTCCTTAAAAAAAAGGAAAATGCTAAAGCCACTGCAACTCTCACCAGTCACCACACACCTTAGACATCCACAGACATTGAACAATGTCTGTGGATGTTTGTGAGAAGGTGATGTGATAGCCTGAAAGGTGGGGTTCCCCTAGCATGGCCCCAAAAGGAAAATGGGAAAATAATTGTGAGAGAAAGAAGAGAACTGAGAGGCTAATTTGAGAGGAGCTTGAGATCGAAACAAGCTAATCTCAAATACTGAATTGGTGGATCAACAAGCTCAAAATGTGAGATTTGATCTGAACCTAAAATAATGGATATAAGGGTTGGTTCAACTTGGTTACATCCATAAAAGCAATTATCACCTTCCTCTTAGGAAATACAGGAAAACATATCCAAGAGACTCCAAATCATCCCTCCTGCTTTGTTCTGTAATGTACATTACATGTGTGTGTTACTGAAAATTGAGCAACCAAAGGAATGAGAGCAATGCATTCCATAGGGGAAAAGGTTACCACGACCAAGGTGAGTATTAATGCTTGCGTATCTTGCTGTTCCTGTCAATTTCTTTTTATCTCTGAAAATTCCATGAATTCAAACTTGTTTTAGGAGCAAAAAGGCAATACATAGACACTGCAACTGTGTTTACAAACAGAGATTGCATACATATATAAGCAATGATTATGAGCACCTATAAGAAACATGTTGGTGAGTTGAAGTGTCTCGATACTTCTTTGCCAAACCAAGGTCAATTACATAGACCTGCTTTTAAGACAAACTAGTCATAAATATCTACAATTGTTTACACACAAAAAGAAGAAGAAGAATATCGAGGGAATACATAATAACTAAACAATAATAACAAGAGACAAGACCTGATTTGAGTGCCCCCCTATTCCCATGAGAAAATTTTCTGGCTTGATATCTCGATGCAAAAATGATCTGCTGTGTATAAACTCAATGCGATTGATCTGTGGCAAACATTAGAAGAGTGTATATATGTGTATACATAGATAAGTAAAGAAGGAAATGTGTGTATCTGTGTGCCAGTATTTTTCCACACAAAAAAACCACGCATAAAAAGAACGAACCATTTGATCCGCAAGCATGAGAACAGTTTTCAGGGAAAACTTCATACTGCAGAAGTTGAATAGATCTTCAAGAGTAGGGCCAAGCAAATCCATAACCATAACATTGTACTCCCTTTCCACTCCAAACCATCTCACATTTGCAATTCCAGCTACAACATAAAATAAACAATTACTAGCATTATTCAACTGTTGAACATAAAATAGAATGGAGCAGGCCAGTCAAAGATGAGTGAAAAATCCATTACTTCCTCCTTGTAAAATCCGGTATATCTTTGACTCATACAGTAATTGTGGGTGACTTGCTTGGACATTTTCCTGCAATATCAGTAACGGTGTCAATTTTAATGAAGCTGGGCAGGGTGCATTTAAAGTTGAGTCCAGAACAGAAAAGCATGAGACAAGTAATTAAAAGAGCATATTAGTCATTATGGCAGAAAAATATGTTAAAATCACTGTGTTGCATCATGACAAGTACAACAATTGGTTCGGATGAAAGTGCCATTATTATTTTTTAAACATTGAGAAAGGAGACTGTTCTCACTATTCCTGCATGCAGTTGCAGATAACAATGTAAGGTTGTCCTACACTACACCCTCATGGTGGGACCCTTCCCCGGACCCTTGCTCCACGAGGATGCTTTGTGCACCACCGGCACAGGGCTACCCTTTGGGGCAGATCACAAGTCCTAGTGACTCATCATCTGAATTAGAGTAAAATGATGACTCAAACACTTCAACATGTTATGAGTTGTAAAATGATGACTCAAATACTTTAGGAAAATAAATCAAACATGATCCCAGAATTAACATGTCTATTGTTAAACATACAGCTATATGGTTAATACCGAGCAACATTTTCTTTATCTGTCAATGGCCCTAAAAGAGACAATGTGGATGATGTGTCCAGTTAGACTTGATAGTTTGATAGCATATTGAAACTCCAAAACACCATAAATTTTAATAGTAGTCCCTCCATGGCTCCACCCCACTATTTTTGTCCCTTTTAGCCTTTGTGTCCCATTAATTTTGTCGTATACCATAATTGGTCGTAGTTGTGTAGTTCACAATCATTCTTACTTTTTCTTACATCTTTTTACTTATTAACATCAATATAAACTATAAAATCTTACTTTTCTTAATTTCTGTATCACTCCCTCATGTCCCAAAAATAGTGATCCGGAGGGGGTAGTATAGAGCTCACTTTAACCTACATAGTATGATGAAAGTCTAAATAGCAGCTTCTTGATTTGGGTAGGTTGTGTTTTACTCCTTTCTTTTCCATCATCTTCGATGAAGCCAAAAACTCCCTATTTTTTGGCTTTTGGGTGTGATGGAATAACGCAAAATGGATCTCTAAAGCACTTGTGCTTCTTTAATTAATAAAGTAGCAGTTAGTCAATCAATGCAACTTTTGACACTAAGCCGGGGTCTCTTTGAAAACAGCCTTCTACTTTCGAGCCTTCTACTTTCGAGCAGGGGTAAAGTCTGCGTACACACACCCTCCCCAAACCCAACTCTGTAGGAAATAACTGGGTTCTTGTTAGTTGTTGGTCTGAGCCTTTACCACATTTGGTACGATTAATGTGACTCAAATCAATTGATACTTTGCAAATTCAATATCAACCACACAACTCAACTTTTCCTTAATGCGTGTGACACTCTCTCTAGTAACATACTTAGTGAGACGGAAAGGGACTACCCCCTCCATCAATTAAAAAGGTTCCACATCTCCTTTTTCGTTTGTCTCAAACAAAGGTTCCTCTTTCCTTTTGAGGAAGGAATTGTGTGGTTCAAACAATCTCTCCCTTCTCCACAAAATGCAACCACATGCTTCTACTTTTATTAATAATTGTGTCCAGTCAATTGTGGAACCTTATTGAGAGATGGGGAGAGTATTATCTTTTTGGCTGAAATTGCCTCTAAGCCATTCATTTCCTTCTCCTTTTCAATAATTCAAAACACCAAGTAATTGACATTACAAAAAAAAGATTTTTCCCCCAAAAGCTTTTTAAGTTTCAACCCTATATGTCAACCCACGCCCCCATAGAATCAAACTTAAAAAATGATTCCAGCCGCGGACAAAAAAAATACAGAAATCAATTGAACCAGTGCACTAAAAAAACATGAAGGAATAGAGGAATCTATCAACTCAATTCAAGCGGAAAGCAGACTCACAAGCTTAATTGCCACTTCCTCGTTCGTCTGCAAATCAGTGGCTGCATCAAGAAACCCAGAAATGATTACAAAATCAACTCAATATTACAATATTCAAAGAAATTTGCACCGTCAAATAAAATTATACGGAGTGATACAAAAGCAAAGCTAAAGCATTCAGTTTTGAAAAAACAAAACAAACCGGTGAAGATCTCTCCGAACGATCCACTGCCGATTTTCCGTCCGAGCCGGTACTTGTTTTTGACTAGAGGCTCCATAAGAAGAAGAGAAAGAGAAGAAACCAATTGTAGAGAAATAAGATATGCAACCTAGGTTAGTGAAACTGATAAATCAATAAGTCTAAGGGGCTGTTTGGTAACTTCTGAATTGGTAAGTGCTGAACCAGTAAGAGGTCTGAACCATTAAGTGCTGAACCAGTAAGAGGTCTGAACCATTAAGAGCTAGTATATTGCTTAACTATTCAGAGGCAAATGTCTGATCAATTCAGATAAGAGGTATTAATCATTCAGACTCTGTATAATACTTAACCATTCAGAGGCAAATCTCTTAACCATTCAGACATCTGAACCATTAAGAGGCTGAAACAAACAGTCTGAACCATTAAGTGCTGAGTCATTCAGACATCTGAACCATTAAGATGCTGAAACAAACAGCCCATAATAGTTATAGGATTCTAAGTTATCTAAAATATACTTTGGTACCACCAATATTCTGGCTAGATGCTAAATTATTCAAAATAGGGAGTATAATTTTGAATAATTTTGCGATATTATACTCTAAAGGTACATTGCATTCATTTAAACGTGAAGATTGAAAATTCTTTTACTTTGATAATAAAAAATGTAAATTTAATAAAATAATGACTATCAAGATAAAAAATAGTATTTTTCAAAGTCCCAAAGCTTTTAATCATAGTGATTAAATATACAGATTATACCCTTGGAGTACATTACTGCTAATTTTAAGGACAACCAGAGTATATTTCAGATGATGTGAGATTTGAGAGTTCTTACTAGATAATCGAGGCTACATTATTACCAAAAAATCGAGTACACCTTAGAGTAATTTTTTTGGTTTTCCGCCTATGCCAAAATGATGTTGTTGAGCATCGGAAATGGTTATATATATAAAAATAGAATCTCACACCCTGATGTAGCACATTTCAATCAATTAAAAATAATCATGTCACTAAGTAGTGTGTAAGTAGAGTAGCAAGCTTTATAGTGGTAAGAGCAACTCCAATGGAGCCTCTATATTTTGTTGAAGTCTAAAAATTAAAGTTTTAACACTACACTGTAGACAAAATTGAGCTCCAACGGATAAGGAAAAATATACACCGTGAGCTAGTTTTAACTTTAGGTCATCTATATATAGAAGATTAAGTTCATAAGCTATAATAAAAAAGTAATAAACAAATGTGAAAAGTAGGAGGGACGAGTGTTAACCTGACANAGAGCAACTCCAATGGAGCCTCTATATTTTGTTGAAGTCTAAAAATTAAAGTTTTAACACTACACTGTAGACAAAATTGAGCTCCAACGGATAAGGAAAAATATACACCGTGAGCTAGTTTTAACTTTAGGTCATCTATATATAGAAGATTAAGTTCATAAGCTATAATAAAAAAGTAATAAACAAATGTGAAAAGTAGGAGGGACGAGTGTTAACCTGACACGCCTAGTTTGTAGCTATCTCACAAAAAAGAGTAAAAAAACAATAAAATATATTAAATTTATGAATAATAACTGATATGGTTGGAGGGCATACAAAAATGTGAGCATTCAAATTACTGTACACACCCTAAAACGGAGTTTTAGCTCTTAATTTTTTGCAGCTCCGTTGGAGTTGCTCTAACTCATTATTCTTGTTATTTTTTAGGGAGTACATTTTTTTGTGTTATAATTATTACAAAATATTTTTTTTGTAGAAATCACTCTAAGTAGGACTAGAACATTAATAAAAGTACTAAAATAGAACTTTCATGTTTTTTTCCCGAAATATGACTTCGCATTGTGGTAATGTGGGACTGTACATGTACACATTGCTATACTTTTTTGGTAATGTACATGACCATGTTTGGTAATGTAAGTCCTATTTCGAGAATAAAAATATGGAAATCCTATTTTGGTATATTTTCAATGTTTTAATCATATTTTGGTCTTTCTCCCATTTTTTAATTTGTTTTATAAAAAAAACTTAGCTTCTACTTTGTTACAAAAATGACTTTTTTATTCATAAAAAAATATTAAAAATAAAAAAGGGATGGAGTGCCATGCTAACGTCTCTGCATGCATGGTGAAATTGGGAGGCCACGCGAGGCAAATTCATTTTCCATCTCCCTTCGTGCTGATGTGGCGTGGCAAGGCTGCCAACATACTCGTCGTTACATTTGCTTTTAATACTTCACCAGTCTCGAATTAGTCGTCTCATTTTGACTTCATAAAATTTTAGAAAATTAAAAGTGAATAGTATAAATCTGATTGAAAGAAAGAGAAGGGTACGAACCACATATTCTATACTTAATTACAAAAATAAGGCAGTGAGATAATTAATTAGAGATAGAGAGACTAGAAGGACCTTATTTTAAAAACAGTTGTTTTCGAACGTTACAAGCAACCAACCAAACAAAAAATTCATTATCACAACCAACCAAACAAACATCCATCAACAAGCAACCTATTACACTATATGCTTCCTATAATCAACAAAGGATTTACTATTAAACAAGATATAAGAGATTGTTTGAGCCTCGTTAGTAATCTAAAGAAGTTGCTCTTGTTGTAATATAAATAAGATTTTTTTAAATTTCCCCTCTTCTAACCGTCTACATTTGAAATCGTTGCACCTATCAACCTTTTAAACGCAATAAATAATAAGAACCAATAACCCATCTTTAAAGGACTTGATTTGAATTGCGAGGTGAAGAACGTAGAACAAAAAAAAAACATCATCACGTGAAAAAAATTAAGGATCCGTTTAGTACACAGAATTATTATTAGAATATTATAGAATTGAATTGATGTTTAAAATTACGAGAACGATTCCTAGCTATTTTCAAACTTCATTCAAACTCTAGCAATGTTAACGGGATGTTTAAAATTTAAAACTTAAAACTTACAATTTAAAATTTGAAACTTAAAATTTTACATTTTATATTTTAAATTTTATATTTTAAATTTTAACTTTTAAATTTTAAATTTAAAAACTTAAAATGTAAAATAGAATATTTATTATAAAAAATTTAAAATTTACAATTTCAGATTTAAAATTCAAAACTTAAAATAAAAATTTTAAATTACAAATTTAGAACTTAAAATTTAAATTTTAAATTATACACTTTAAATATAAAATTTCAAATTTCAAATTTAAATTTTAAGTTTCTCATATTTAATATCTAATATTTAATTTTCAATCCCAATTTTTTCTATATTTTTTTGGCTTAAATTATAAATTTAAACTTTCTGTTTTTAAACTTTTATTTTGAATTTTGTATTATTTTATCTTAAACTTTAAATTTTATTTTTTTTTAAAATTTTTTAATTTTAAATTCTAAATTGTAAGTTTTAAATGTGAAATTTTAAATTTCTATTATCTGACTTTTTAAAATTTATGTTTTTAAGATTTTAGTTTTTAGTTTTAAAATTTTAGTTAAAATTTTAAATTAAAAATTATTAATAATTAAATTTTATTATTAATTTTTAGAGTTTCATTATTAACTTCTAGAATTTAAATTTAATTTATTATTTTATGTGTTTAAAACTCCCTCCATCCCCAATTTGATAAATTGGGGTTTATGAGGAGAAATATCTCACTTTTTAAAAGTTATATATTAAAAAATTACATCAAAACTTATACAAAACAAGAGGTGCCAAAGAATATTTTATTTGATCAAATACTTAATGAAATCACGGAAACAAGCAAAAGTTATCGAGATGAGAGGAAAAAAATTGTAATCAAATAGGGGACAAAGGGAGTATATGACTTTTAAATTTTAGTTCTTATATCTTAAAATGTAAATTTTAAATTTTTATTTTTTAATTTTAAAATATTAAATTTTAAATTCTAAATTGTAAATTTTAAATGTGAAATTTTAAATTTCTATTATTTAGCTTTTTAACTTTTAATTTTTAATTTTTAGTTTGAAATTTTGAAATTTAAAATTTTGGTTTTTTATTTTTTATTTTAAATTTTAGTTTTATTTTTAAATTAGAAAATTTAAACGTTTAGTTTTTTTTTATTAGACTAGTTTTTTTGTTACTCCGTATAAAACACAAAAGATCAACGTGATTTGATTTTGACTCGAAGAATTAAAATTTAGGATTTTCAATTCTTTGCATAAGCTATGGAATTCTAAATGTGGAATTGGAAGAATTGGAATTGGAATTCAACTCCAATTCCATATATTTTTGTTTTACCAAACAGCAGAATTGCCGAATTGAAACCTTCAATTCCAATTCCATAGCCTGAATTCTGTATACGAGCCTAAATGTTGATAAACTCATCCTTTCTGCAAAGACTGTTTGAGTAAAACATTTAGATGTATTACTATGGTCATTGTTTCTAAATCATCAATTGCGTGAAAGCAACGAGGTCAATCTCAAAAGCAATCATTCTTTGTAAAGAAATAAACAGGTAACATGCAAAATTTCTCTTTCAAGAGAACAAATTCCAATCGTACATATCTTTAACATTTCTCTTAAAACCCGTTATGTCAAACTAAAACTTTTCTCTTAATAATCAAAGTTTATTCATTTTGACTAAAAAAATTCCGAGACGAAGCCACAAAGGTTGTAGCTAGTCTTCAACTACATGTAGCGGGGATGAGAGAGAGGCCTAGGACTAGGCAACCCCATGTGTGCAATCTTAGGAGACAATCGGACTCTAGGGCTAGGCCGTGGCGATGGGACTGGACCATAGTCCAGGAACCCAGCGCTGCCATTGGCCACCCTAGGGGACAGGTTGACCTGTTCAAGTGCCCTGAGTTGCAGCTCTGTAGGGTAGTCCCTTACGCACCCAATGCGCGGCCCCATTCCTGTTGACCACTTGCTTGGCAAATGATCGTTGGGTTTGCGATCATCGTCGGATTTAGTAGAAGACAGATGTGTAGGTGCGCGTCTCCCCTCGTCGTGAACTACCTTGAAAGAAACCCAGTCATCATCAACTGCACATCTCTGATGAAAGCCAAAACAATGTGTCATCAGCGATATTTACATGTCGTTTTTTTGTAAGCATATTCGCGTTGTTTTCAAAACCGGTAATGTTGGTAATAATCGAGTGATTGAAGTTGTGGTAGATTCTAGAAAAAACAGAAACACTTAGTGCTAGCTTTGCTTGAAAGCACTTTTGAAGTCTATTTTAGATTTCTGAAGCTTAAAACTATGCACAAAAATAGTTTGTCAAACACGCTAAACTACATTTTAACGAAGCAAGAGCTCAAAAGTTCTCAAATACTATCCCAAACACTCTCTTAGTGTCACACGTATCTCAAGTCAAGAAAATTAGACAAAAAATAGTATTGTTTTTTACTAAGGCCTTGAATTGAGACAAGATAATTGACTAAGATTCAATTTCTTTTAGACACTAAATATAATAATACAGAGTTATATCTATGGTAGTCCTTAGTATATTCATCCTTCTGTTATTTAGTAGCTTTATAAGTCTACTAGGGTTGGTTTCCATATATACTTTCTTATATCTTCATTATCGTGAGTAATACAATTACTTTATGATGGTATCAAAACAGATTTTGGTCCCATCTTGTTTCTCCAAAGTGTCTGTTAAGAAATTCATTCCTAGGGGCATGTGAGTCTTTAGACAGGGTACACACTCAACGGTTTGTGGCCCATTTAATCAAATTGTTCGTGTGAAATTTTAACTTAGTAGTTGAGTCATATCTACCCAATTATTATTATCATTAGTATCGTTGTTTAACATTTTTTAGTATAATTAAGATCAAGTGTCTTATGGTACAGTAGAATAATACCTACCATTCCTTAATGGTTTGAAACTTTACCTTAACATTTGAGAGATCTACACGGTGCTCCTCTAAGAAGCTAATAAATTCTTCAAAGTTCTCTTCGGTTGGAAGATAGTGACCGCTATAAGGCCAAATTGCCTGCAAAAACAATGCATGAGTGCCTTATTAACAAATTCGTAACAATCCCATATTTTTTCACAGCATTCATCAATCATCACCACTTGCAGAAACAAATCTTTTATATACCTCCAAAACGCCGCCGTGGGCGACCAGCCTTCCGGCAGCAGTGATAGCTGCACCTGCTAAAAAGCTCGAATGTTGAAATGTGCCTTTCTCCTTCCTCCCCACGTACAACGTCCGTGAGGTGCTAAGGACAAAGATCCACTTTGAACCTTCTATTGTCTCCACAAAGACGTTGTTCCGCTTGTATACAAGCTTCCCGTTTTTAATCACGACTTCATAACGTTCGCGCTCTTTCTGAAAGAATTCAGAAAAAAAATGAGTAAGCGCACGACACGTAGCATACATAATGACACTAGCAATTACAAGAACAAAAACACATATGAGCAAGCTACAAAGTAAGGTAAAATCATATTCTCGGTGAGATCATGAGACCATTGGGGGGGGTACTTACGGGCCCAAGATATTGAATGCATTGGCGTTGCAACTTTGCCCTTGAACACTTTTCGAGATTGACTTCTTTCCCATCTCCCACATCCAACCTTCATTCGTAGAAACAACTAATTAACTTGAGAGTTGGGAAGATACATTTGATTTAATGGCAACTTAAATTATAGCGAAGTTAAGACTGCAGAAAAATTACGAAATGACCCTCGATGCCTTTGAAAACTACAAACGAACAGAACAAACCTTTCACCGATCAGATTGTTCAATTTGTGAGTCATTCTAACTCTCAGAAAATATTGAATATAATGATTCTAACATGAACTTGTGTGTTTCTTTTGCATTTTGTCACCTAAACTACCTAGTTTTCTCTTTTAATAAAAAATGATTTCTTTTAACAAATATAGGGAGTAATTTAGTTCTAAATAATTCGCGGTTGCTACTGACGCTACATACACATTATATTCATTTCTAAGAGAATCCCAACTCGAACACCGAAAAACTTTCGTCTTATCAGTTCCATTTTCAGAAAAATTGACAGTTCAAGAGCTCTCTTTGTAAACTCCCAAAACCCTAGAATGTCATTGGGGGTAATTCGACCAAACCTCGGGAGTTAAACGCAATCAATTCGTACTTCCAGAACAAAAAAATGGGTTCAATTCAAAACTACATTATAGAAAAAACCCAGAAAAAATAATAATATGAAAAGCTCACCAGTAGAAGAACTGCTGGGGGCTTTCACTCTGAAACCAGACATTATAGTAGAGGTGCAAATTGTGTCCGTACCGATGGCGCGCATCAATCTGAAGACAATCCACATAAACATTAATCTCTGGTTCGAAGAATCCGTGCAGGGAAGAATGAACTATGGGAAATTAAAGCAAAAAAAAAAAAAGACTTACAGCTTCCAGCCAATGGCGAAGGGCTAGTTTCTGAGCCTTGTCGTCCTTGGAGAGCCCCTTCCCGACCTTGGCAGCTCGCGTACGCGCTCTGGCCCATCGAGAAACGGCGCTCTCTGGTTTCCCTTCGCTGAAGAAGGACGCACAACTCTGGTGCAATGCTGCTAGGTCTAATGCCTTCCACCTGAATTTTATTATTTTTATTTAAGAAAGAAAAAAAAAATGGTACCATTAGGAAGCATTTCTAATTCCACATCCAAGATTTTGGGCTTGTGTTGACATTATTTTTTGTGTTGACCATAAAATTGAGAGTATCTGGTACTTCTTTGGTCTTGAAATAATCATTTCAGTTCGATTTTTGAGATTTGATTAAAATTATTTTTAATTTAATTTATTTGATTATGCGTGTAAAATTAAAAAATAAAAATTACACTCTGTTATATTTTAAAAGTATATCAAAAGTTCTACAAAACAAAAAGTGACATAATTATATTATTTTATCAAATAACTACTGAAAATAAGTAATAAAAGTAATCAAAGTTCGCACATGTGAAGAGTGACCCAATTGAACCAACATTAAAACTTAGGGTCAAAAGGTTCTTGCCGACCACGTAGATACACACACGTACACCATGTGTTGACTGGCTTGGTTCCCATAACATTGGTCCCAATGTCATGGGATGACCCGAGAGCTTTGCGGTGCTTTCTTTGAAAAATTGACTATTTTTACTCCTCTTAATTTTTCATTAAACCCTTCGGCCTGACCCGAACTCACCCCCGCACTTCAATTACACCACACAAGCTGTATGGACTTTGAAGTCAAGATTTGACTCAAAAGTCAACAAAAATTGTTAGGTACAATAGAATTTTGGGGTCGGGCCGGGATAGGATATTACGTGGTTTAGAAGAGTAGAAACCGTCAATTTTCGAAACGCGCCACCACTATAACGCGCTCGGATCATCTCATGACTTTGCCCATTGCTAAGCAAAGTCGTCATGTGATCCATTCGCCCTCTACACCCACATACCATAGCTCCTCGGCGACGATGGCGCAATCCGCGAGGGCACGACGAGTACGATAGCTCCTGTATACTTTCTGAATCTTCACCGCCGCCGCGGCGGCGGCTGCATCAACCTCACCGCCATCCCCACGCCCTCTTTCTTCGTGGGATCCCCCCTGAACAAACGAAGAAAGGGTCGTCGTCGTCCTCTCCAGAAGCATTAGTTTCGCGGGCTCGAACCCCCTCAACCGGGTCGAATCCTTCTTCTTCTTCTTCTCCCCCGGGCGCCCATTACTCGAGTAATGGACTCCCATTATCTCTGAACTTACTCCATTGTTATCTTGTACCACCATTATTTCTCAGTTTCCAACACTAAAAGTAAATATATATTAAAAAACAAAAGAGAACCAAATGAGAAGTAAGAAATGAAGAAAGAAAAAGAAAAGTGTGTGAGCTATTTATAAATGATGTGCCCAAAACTGAGCTCTGGGACTGAAAGAAAACCAGATCGGGTTTTCTTCAAGTGAATTTCTTTGGTTTCATAACGAATTAAGAAAGTCGCGGTTCGGGTCAGCGGTTTGAATCTGAGTCTGTTTCGGTAAGTGATTGACTCGGGTGTGTTTGGGAGCTGAGTTCATACGAGTTCGGACGTGTGACGTAGCAATACTCCAAATTCCTTCACACGGTCTGGGTGATGACTGAGTGCCCGCAGCCGGGTCAAATCAATTTATTCAATACTCTCCTCCCTTCCGCCTTAATTTAAATTGTCTGTTTGTTTTTCACGTGGTCAAACTTTAATCATTCTTTTTTTCAGAAAAACTTTTTGAATAAGAGTAAAAAAACTAGAATTATATCAAAGTAAGAGTTATAAGCCTTTTAAGACCAAAAAAGTGTTTATTTCTCATTGTTACCTTATCACACTCACCGCATTGTTACACTACAACTGTCACACTATCACGGCCCCCCGTTGACGCCGATTGCCAACGTTGATTGGTGGTACGCCGGCGGTTGACTGACCACACTACCATATTACATTGAAACTTCTTTTCCATCACACTGTCAACACTCTTATATATATATATTACATTGTCATTATACTTCTATTTTTTGTTTTAAAAGACTTAGGAGTACTCGTGTTTTGGTGTTTTCATATTATTTTACTCTTATTTGGGAAGATTCATATTTTTTTACTCAATTTTGCTAGTAATTGATAAATTGATATTTTTGTATAATCTTGTCACCTATTATTTTATAGTTTTTTAATGTATCTCTTATATAAACTTTATTTTTATTTTCATACCAATTTTCAAATATATTGATTTAAAAATGATTTCAACCAAACCTCGCAAACAACAACAGACGATTTAAATTCGGGCGGAGGAAATAAGGAGTAATTTGTTTATTAGGATTAAAAAATTAAGTTTACATATACTTAAAAATTATACACCGTAGTATGCTAAAAAATTTCAAAACAAATATGTTGGTTATTTTATTTTCTTAAATAATAAAAAAACCTAAGAAGATGAAATATAAAGTGGTCATATTAATAGTGGAGCCCGGTTCCATGGCCACTGAATTCCAGTGGCCAAGGAAGCCACTGTCTCCCTACGGAGCTCCGTTCATAAAATTGATGATTCTTACCCCCCGGTAAACCCCCCGCCAAGTCCCGACCCAAACTAATCACCCCACCTACGTCAATTGCACCTCGTAAGTATAAAGTCAAAANGGGGGGGGGGGGGGGGTATCGGGGGGTTAGGGGGGTATGAATCATCAATTTTATGAACGGAGTTCCGTATGGGGGCAATGGCTTCCGTGGCCACTGGAATCCGGTGGCCATGGAACCGGGCTCTTAGTAGTGATCATGAATTGTATTTTGGATAGAGCGAGCGTTGAAATTTTATACTTCTGCAAAAACAGAATTATAGTCCTGCTTTTTTTTTACATAAATAAATGTGACACCTTTTTTATTGAATTGTAATTGTCTAATACATCAAAATGGAAGACTTTTTTTAATAGCATTTCTCTCTTTTAGACAAATATTATCAATCACATAACTAAAAACTCCTACAAACTACGAAGTACTTTTTATTCAGAGATACGAAGTCCATGCTCGTTGAACGATGTTACAAATTTTAAAACGGGGGTTAAGAGCCAGAGCCCATAGTTGGGGTTGAACTGTTAGGTCAGCCCCTCGAAAAAAACTTATTTTGGATGTTGTTTTATGAGAATCCTTTGAATTTTCATAAATAGAGTCCAAAATGAAATAAATTCGTATGCACTTATACATTTGAATGTATAGTTTATCTCCTGCATTCTTTACGAAAAGACATACTCCCTCCGTTTTCTAAAACCATTCTTGTTTTGACTTTGAGGCAAAATATGGAAAGTGTAATTTTAGTTGACTTTCCAATTTTGCCCCTGATGTGATGCGTAAAAGTAATTAAGATGTGATAGTTTAGTTATTAGTGAAAAAGTATGATGTGATAGGTAGGGTATGAAAAAGTAGGGGTAAAAGTGGTTTTAAGAAGTGTTTTAAGGAAAACAAAAAAATGAAAGAGGAAGGACTTTAAGAAACGGCGTGAGTATAACATTACAATGTTTAGTATCAGACATTTGAATAATAGTTCTAAACATTTGCAAACACTCGAATGCTTTAATTAGACATTTGAATGTTACTCGATAAGTCATATTGTTTTTCATAACAGACCCACTCGTTAGGGTTTTGATCTACATATATGAAGTCCAGGGTACGATTAAGGGAAAACTTCCATAGTCGTTCCGAATACTTAGTTCTTATACGATTGAAATATTTTGATATCCCCGAAATACCCTTAATTTCACGCGATTTGCAGTGTTTATCAAGTTTCTTTATTGGAATATGCTTGTACATATCTTATACTCCCTCCGTCCCAAAAAGAATTCCTACTTTGGTTAACGTGCAAAATCCCGTAGATTTTAAAATAATTTTATTTGCAAATTGGTAAGGAAATAACACATAAAAAATTATATTTAAAAACTACATCAAAAAATTTACAAAATAAGAGGTGAAAAGAATATTTTATTTTATCAAATGATCAATGAAAACACGCAAACAAATAAGAGTTATCGAGAGGCCGTAATAGTAAACAGGAAAGATTTTTTAGGATGGAGGGAGTATTAATTTGTTTCCTTATAGAAGTAGGATTCCATATATGTTTCCTAGTATGTTTTGGAACTATTGTTGTATATATATACATGTAGATTGTATCAATAAATCAAGTCATTCAATTCCAAAATTCTACATGGTATCAGAGCGATTCTTGGGAAAACCCTAAGTCTACCACACCCATATACGTTCGTCCAGCCGCCGCCTGTCCGTCACTCAGCTCGCCGTCCATTCGCCGCTGACATCTCAGCCACCGTCCATCACTCCCCTCCCGTCTCCATCTTCATCACCGACACCGTGACATCCGAAACAACCAAAAAGACATGGTTGATTCCCGATCCATCCACGATCTATTATCTTCATCCGTCAGAACATGCTGGAAACGCCTTGACCAAATACCTACTCAAGAGTGATAATTATGAGGTTTGGGAAAAGGCCATACGTAACGCTCTAGGGGATCGTGGCAAGGCTATTTTCTTGATCTATTATCTTCATCCGTCAGAACATGCTGGAAACGCCTTGACCAAATACCTACTCAAGAGTGATAATTATGAGGTTTGGGAAAAGGCCATACGTAACGCTCTAGGGGATCGTGGCAAGGCTATTTTCTTGATACCTCCCAAACCTAAAGAGGAACGAGAACTCGCCGCTTGGGAATTTAACAACTCTATCATCTCTAGTTGGATTTTCAATAGCATGGATGAGTCTATTCAACCAAGTATCGTCTCTCACTCTGTTGCTTCAGTTTTGTGGTCTGATCTGAAAAAGAGGTACAGTACCTCGAATGGCCCTCGTATTTACCAATTAAAAACAGAGTTGAATGCGCTACGACAAAAGGGGCAAACCGTGGTTGCATATTACAATCAATTCATTACTCTATGGAATCAGCTGCATGAAACCGGCGATCCTACTGGTAGAACTCCAACGAAGCTCCTTGACGGGAAATCTCCTCTCCAAATCCTCACAAATAAAACGCCCGATTTGAGTCACCTATGTGTCTTCGGATGCTTATGTTTCGTCCGTCACGTATCCAAACCACCGAACAAATTTCCCCCCGAAGTGTCCGATGTATGTTTGTTGGTTATCCATTTGGTACAAAAGGGTGGAGAGTATACGACCTTGAAACCCATCGTTTTTCCATACCCGGGATATCTCTTTTGACGAATCCCAATTCCCCTTCCAACTTCCCTCGTCGTCCCATACCCAACCCATCAATTCCCCTTCCTCCCGGTTATGTTCATGCGTTCCCAGGGAAGGTGTGTCGCCTTTGCAAGTCCCTTTACGGTTTGCGCCAGTCCCCCCGCAATTGGTTTTCAAAATAAAGTCAAGCTCTTCATCAATATGGGTTTCGTCAGGCTCATGCTGACCTCACCCTTTTTGTTTTTCGCAAAGGGGGAGATATGTTGGTTGTTCTCGTATATGTCGACGATATTCTTGTTGCGGGGAATAATGGATCTTTATGCAGATCCTTCACACAGTATCATGATGATTGTTTTAACCTCAAGGATCTTGGCCCCGTATCTTATTTCTTGGGCATTGAATGTGCTCGCTCCAAGGAAAGAATGGTATTAAATCAGAGAAAATATGCTTTGGATATAATTGAGGAAGCCGGCCTTATTGGGTGCAAACCCGTCGCTACATCCATTCAACCAGGTCACAATCTCGCTCTGTCCACTAGTCCAGAGATTCGTGACCCTGCTAAGTACAGACGCATCGTTGGACGCTTATTATACATTACCTTGACTCGTCTGGATATTTGTTTCTCCGTTCATGTGTTATCTCAGTTTATGCAGGCTCCTCGTTTGGATCATCTTAATGCCGCTCTCCGTGTTCTCCGTTATCTTAAAGGACATCCAGGTCAAGGCATTCTCCTCTGCAGTGACAGCAATCTGGCTCTCACCGCTTACTCCGATTCTGATTGGGCAAGTTGTCCTCTTACACGGAGATCCGTTACTGGCTACTTCATCCTTTTTGGGGGTTCGCCGATCTCATGGCGTTCCAAGAAACAAACCACCGTGTCACGTTCGTCAGCTGAAGCAGAATATCGAGCTATGGAAAATGCCTGTGTTGAGCTTCGTTAGATCTGCGGCCTTCTTGCAGCACTATCTGTGCCATGCGTCGCCACTCCTAAGCTGTACTGTGACAATAAATCTGCATTATTCATTGCTGCCAATCCCGTATTTCATGAGCGTTCCAAACACATTGATATTGATTGCCATATTGTTCGTGAATGTCTTCTCCGTCAGCAGGTCGTTACAACTTATGTTCCTACTCGTCTTCAGATTACTGACATTTTTACAAAGGCACTTCCTGGCCCATTCTTCCGCTTTCTGCTATCCAAGTTGGGAATTCTTGATCTTCATGCTCCAACTTGAGGGGGAGTATTGGAATATCTTTATACATATGTTATATTATGTTATATTAATTTGTTTCCTTATAGAAGTAGAATTCCATATATGTTTCCTAGTATGTTTTGGAAACTATTGTTGTATATATATACATGTAGATTGTATCAATAAATCAAGTCATTCAATTCCAAAATTCTATGGTCTTCACGTTAACTTAGTCACCCCTCTCATATTTCATTCCAAGAAATACTCCGTATACAAGATATGAACATTCTCACGACAAGAAAACATGTTAGAAATTCCAATCTAAGGTAACCTTCAACTCCGGCTTTACAATGACTCTACCCTTTGAATGCTTCATGAAGTTTTGACTCTTTTTTTCAATCAAAAAGAAGTTTTGACTTTCGTAACCTATGTAGTCTCACAAAAACTAGGACATAGAGTGTGTTTGGCTGTATTTTTTTTTAAAAAAAATTGATAATTTGGACAATAAAATAAAAAATATTCTAAAGACTTTTTAATTTTTTTTTGTTCCTCTCAAAAAGTTGAAACTAAACACTCCAAACTATTTTCATTTTCGTTTCACATATTTTTATAAAAAATAGGTTGTGTTTTTTTTGGGACAGTGAAAAATGAAACTAATGGGTGCAAGTAACACCACTCCAGTCGATATAATTATTACTCTTTCGAACAAATGTTCTTGATTGCTTTTTTCAGAGAGCTTAAGGAAAAAAATGAAATTGTGTGATGAGAGTTTATGGAATAATAGAAATAAACAATATGAACCGCTCATTTCTTTGTTTAAATGGAATGAAACATATATTTTGAGACATTCGAATGCCCGAGTGCTAATTACAGATGTTGTTTTCTTTACATCGAACCCTCGAATATGTTGGTATATACGGAGTAATTTACATTTTTACTCCCGTACACACGTGACATATCATCATCAAGTATCCGCCACGGATCATCGTCAGAGTGAACCCACTCCCCAAAAATCATGTGTTTGCCCAATGTGAACCTTTCAATTAATGTTTTACCATGTCTTGGCATGCTAAGATGTGAGTGTAGAGACTATGGAAAAGAGTTTGGAGTATGATCCCACACAAACTTAATGGTCTTTTCACTATGGGTCTCGAGAGTAATTCTTCTAAAGCTATTTTTCAAAAGTTAGTGGAAACCTTTAGTGGATAGCCTCCACTTATGCTTACTGCTGCTATGTTTCCTCTAAAACCATATGTTGATAGGAGTATTATTTTCAATATTAACATGTTTAATTTGTGTATTTTCTTTTTGGGGAGAATGGATGTACTTGGCTTCAAAAGTCATTTCTCATTTTTTAAAATTTTCTTGGTTTTTTTATATTTCTCTACAAAACTTTTAGTTTTGGCATTCATATTGATGAGAATGTATGACTTTTGTTTGAATATGAGAATGCGTCAAGCAATTAATTTGTAAACTTTTTTAAAATTATGGCCTTTTTGTTCACATGTATTTTTTCTTAAATAAAAAAAGATAATCATCATATATTCAATGTAATATCTTTCGTATATGAGTCCATCTCCTCATTTTCCCCCCTAAGGCTGATAAAATCATTTTATCAAAGTGATTATCATCAGTGAGCGGTGATGTAAATAAATTACTAATTATGAGTTTAAGATATATTTTGATTAAGAGACTAGAAATCAACATAAATTCATAACTTTCTTTGTGCATCCACATTTGTACGAAATGGTTGAACAATTGATAATACAGCCCGGTTCCATGGCCACTGGAATCCAGTGGCCACGGAAGCCATTGCCCCCCTACGAAACTCCGTTCATAAAATTGATGATTCCTACCCCCCTAACCCCCCGGTAAACCCCCCCACCAAGTCCCGAACCAAACTCATCACCCCACCTACGTCAATTGCACCTCATAAGCATAATTCACTTTAAAGTCAAAAGTTTTGACTTTATACTTACGAGGTGCAATTGACGTAGGTGGGGTGATGAGTTTGGGTCGAGACTTGGCGGGGGGGTTTACCGGGGGGTTAGGGGGGGTAGGAATCATCAATTTTATGAACAGAGTTTCGTAGGGGGCAGTGGCTTCCGTGGCCACTGGATTCCAGTGGTCATGGAATCGGGCCGTTGATAATATATGACCCAACATAGCCCCTCGAGAAAGTAAAATATGGATATCCTTATATGGGCTATATTTGTCTATTTCTCATTTAGCAATTATAATTGCTACTCGTATTATAAGCTCTTGATAACTTTTATTTATTTGCATATTTTTATTAATTATTTCATAAAATAAAATATTATTTTCACTACTTATTTTGTAGACCATTTGATGCAGTTTCTAAATATGTACGTTTTATTTTTAATTTGTGGAAAAATTATCTCAAATAATCTTACTTTTTCGGGCATTTCAAAAATAATCTCACTTTTCTGCATGTGTGCGAGTTTTGGGTCGCTATTAAAAAACTAACGGCCTATTAATGAAATTTTTAGAAAGTGCATGATTTTCACAAATAAATGAAAGATGAGATTATTTTAGGCAAATTTACTTTTTACTTTTTTATTTTTAAATTTAAAATTAATATTTTTAAAAATATAACAATACACTCTTGTTAGAAATTTGTCTAATGATTTACAAATTCTGTTTTCTATTCTAGGAAAACGTAATATTGAATTATCAAAAATAATTCAGAGTATCGGTCAAGAAAGAAATTGCAATACAAAAAAATTGTAGTGAGTTATAAAATTTATTAGTGCCGTTTCGGAGAAAAAAAATGTTGTGCAATTTTCATAACTTTTGAATTACTATTTTGGGGAAAAATTTGTATCGAATTATCAAAAAAATCACAAATTAGGTAGTTCCATCTTAGAAAAAAAATTATGGGCAATATAAGATTGTCAATAAATATTTCGTAGTGTTGTTCATGAAAAAATTGCAATACAACAGAAAATGTAGTAAGTTATAAAAATAAAAGTTCTATTTTAGAAAAAAAATTGTTTTATTATTTTCACAATTATTGTAATTTTGTTTCGCAAAAATATTTATATAGAAGTATTCAAAAATATTCACAAGTTTTGTAGTGTTATTTTTTAAGAAATAATAATAATGTAGTATCGAAAAACAATGTGAAGTGCCACTCAAGAAAAATAATTCTAACTTACCAAAAAATATAGTGAGAATTGGTATACCAAACAATTTGAAGTGCCACTCTATTGTGTAGAATTATTTATTTTTTAATTAATGCCAGATTATCGATTATTGAAAAAAACAATTAGTCTCACTCTAAAAAACACTTAGATTTGGTATTATTTTTCCAAAAAAAATTAAAATACATTTAAATTTAAAGTTAGATATTTAAAAAATGAAAAAAAGATAATTTGCCTAAAATAATTCCACCTTTCATTTATTTACGAAAAACAGACATTTTTCAAAAACTCCGTTAAGTGACCGTTAGTTTTTTAACGGCGACCCAAAACTCGCACACATGCAGAAAGGTGATATTATTTCTGGTGACATTGAAATGTTAGATTATTTTTGAAAGAGCATGAAAAGGTAGAATTATTTGAGATAATTTTTCGTTAATTTATATACTCCCTCAGTCCGCTAATGTATTCTCATTTTGACTTTTTGTGATGTTTAAAGAGTTGAAAAAAGTAAAAGCTTACCAAAACATCCTTAATGAAAATGAATGAAGTATATTAAATGAGGTGAGTGAAGTGTAATAGATAAAATAAGTAACAGTAGTTGAAGTACTTTAAATGTTAAAAGGCTAATGAAAAATTTTATGAAAGACAAATAAAAAGGACTAATGAGAAGATCTTTGAGGCACGAAGGGAGTACCAATTTGTAAATAAAGTCATTTTGAAAATCATGGGATTGTATATGCGATTGTGATCAAAGAGTTATTAATTTTTGGGACGCAGAGAGTATTTATGATATGCAGGAAACCTCCGTCGAATTAAATTTGCAACACACCACCAAACAAATGTTGGCAATTTGGATTTTATTAATGATATTCTAGCAAATAATTGTAATCGTTTAATTAAAAACTCAAGCGCAAGGTAGTATGAAAATCCATATAATCATGCAAAAATCATAAATTGATTGGTATGTAAATTCTCATGCATTATCAAGCTGAACATGTATGAAAATAAGAGACACAATGACTAGTTTTATGGTATTACTATAATCTTCAATGGGGTCTCGGTGCTGTCGCAGTGGAAGAGGTACGAAGTCGCTTGACGATAAGATATGTAGTCTCGCTTGCGCAGAGGGAGAGGGGAGATGAACGAAGTAGCTTTGAAGATTCGTTTCAAATGAGTTTCAACGGATCGTTACACTCATTTTGTTTATCAACTCACATGAATGTAACGAAAAAAGGTACGTGAACATAATTCAACGATTCGTTTTTGGAAAAGCAAACAATTAAATACGGATTGTATGTGTATTTTAATCATTGTTTTAGCCTGTTATAGTGATATTGTACCCCTTTGGTCATTTGAAACAAGAATCAATCTAAAGGAGTCAACAGTATATATATATATATATATATATATATATATATATATATATATATATATATATATATATATATATGTATGTATGTATATGTATATAGACACACACATACACAAACACACACGGAGTATATATTTTTAGAAGCTTGCTGAAGTCGGAAAACAGAGTTGAACCTGAAGGGTTGACAGCTAGGTGATGCGTATGAGAAGCACGACCATGACAAAGATGCACGTCATGACAAAGATCATAAGCCATGTGAAACAAGCTGTCTTGAAGCTCTGCGAATACACTTTCATGGCACGAGTATTGGCGCTCCCAGTGCTCGCCAAGCTGTGCTCCACCGCTTTCTCAGTTGAGTCGAGTATCTGCACCACCACCACCACCACCACCCAAAGGATCCATTTGACGTAAAACCAAGAAAAAATAAATGCAAATCTCAAATATATATTTTTAAGGGAATGAAGTTAGGTTTTCATCTTAGTCTTTATGTGTAGATGTCGAAAAATCTACTCCATCCCGATGTAGGTGTGTATTGGTTCACTTTCCATTTGTGGCGAAGTAAGAAGTGTCACATTGACCCTTTTGCCCCCATCTCACCCCCATTCGATAAACGTTCCACCATAAAGTGGAGATATTTCAGTCATCTTACCACTATTCAAACCTTCTTGGTTCATGTGCCAAAAAAGCAAGTGGACAAACATATTGGGACGAAAGCAGTACTTTGACCCCAAAACCTTCCCTCTGCCCCCATTTTTGGTACACACACACACACACAGAAACAAGCTCATGTATGTGCATTCTCTGAAAACAAAAAAATGCGTCGAGGGGTACAGTAACACCACTTTAAGACGCCATACCATGGGAGGAAGAAAGATTACCTTTTCTGTGTTTTTTATGGATTGGTTCATCATGAGACTACTCTCTTTCAGTTGTCGTGCCAAGACAACCAATTCATCCGTCATGCTCTCCTGAAGTTTCCTGAAAGGTGTGGCCATGCAAAAACGAGAATAGTAAAGGTTTCACAATACTAGCCCTCATAATGTATTCTTTACATCGTGCTAAATTAAAAGGTTGCATGTACAAAAGAGAGAAGCATCAAGAGAATTTGCCAGCAAAACTATACCTATGCTTATCGATGTGTCTCAATGCAGCATCATCAAGTTTGACAGGAGAAGATGGGCCGGAACACACCTTGTCTACAGATGTATCCATAGCATTCGACGGAGGCCTATATTCCGCTTTAATATTAGAACTTAAATCAAAGCAAAAAAATCATCATATTAAAAAAACTGCCATCAGCTATATATATTTTTTCACACACACAAATCTTCTTCTCAGTCCGCCTGTAGGAGATTGAACACTTTCCCCCTCCGGTTTATGAATTTCAACATCACACGTGTCAACCGTAGGCTCTTGAGACTCCTGTTGAGGACAAGAGTGGATCCCAAACAGAAAAGATCATTAAGGCAAGCCATCAAAGCACAGAATCAACACCAAATTATTTTTTGGGGGAGAATCTGAGCTTTAATATTTTTTAGATTTTAAAAATATGTTAGCATACAATACTCTTTTGTTTCTTAATTTCAATGAAGCTTTGGGCATTAACTATTAAATGAGACAATGCACCAAGGGTCTAACAGAAAAAGCCTCTATGTTATTTTACAAAGATAAGGTTGTGTACATCGTGACCCCCAAGACCCCAAAAGAGTTGATATTATATTGGGTGTCGTAATTCGCATAAAATACTCCAAAAATGTGAACAAACAAGTTAGTACACGCACCGCAGGTACAGCCACTTTAGCCACAATAGCTTCGATTTGTTCAGAATATTCAGTCAACTTAGCTTTGGAGACCCTATCGGGAACAAGTAAATTAGGTGGGGTTAATTAAGATGGCTGCTATCATTTTAGTTAAGTTTATATGGACATGTAAATTTCAAATTGATCTAGTTGAATGGTATAAGATATACGGAGTAGCATTTCAAACAGGGCAACAATAGTGTAAATTGTATAAAAACTATAGCTATTTCAGAGGAAAAAATACGTTGCAATGCCAATTTGCAGTTTACATGATGATGTCAAAAGCAATTGTAAAAAAACAATCACATGTGCGAAAATTGGCAAAATGATCAATTGGACAAATACTTCAAATTGTGTAAATAGTAGTAAGAATATAAACCTAGGCAGTCCTTCTGGACTCCTCTCCTCGGCCAACTGCTCCAACAGTTCCCGCAATGTGGCAACATACTACAAAATATAGCAACCAATAAGAAAATATTTTAACCGATTACAACTAACAATTGAAAGGATGTCCTGAAAATGAATTGAAACTTTTCTGCTTTGACGATGAACTAGGCCATAGCTCAAAATTAAATAGATCCTAACCGCCTGTTATGCATGAGTGAAACAAATTGCCAATATGAATAAAGAAAAAGGTTACATGTAGAAATAAATGCCCACCAAATGGAACTAAGGTTGAGAACAGACAGCTCTGATACTTGGCTATCGAAAACCAAAAGAAAAAAACAGAGAATCTTGGTTCATTCAGTAATTTCAAAACATTGCAGGGAGTCAGATTTTGAGCAACTTACATGTCTTAATATCTCATAAGAGCAACAATATTAACGTTGTCAAGAGATTTCTTCTTTATCTTCTTTTTAATATGTACTTGGGATTTCTTCTTTATCTTCTTTTAATCTCAAGTTTCGACATGAATGTCATATCCAAATCAGATTCTGCATGATATATTAATTACATTTTAGTTACATCTACTCATCCCCTGGTACACTATAGAAACAGTGGTATAGGGTGGACAGGATTCACACTCTTCTTCCTAAGAGGCAAAGCGGTTGTAGACTATCTGGCACAATGAGACATAACTTAAATTCTTGTACTGATTATAATTATAGTTCTACTCTATATTGGTTACTCCTTCCACAAGATGTATCATTATTGCTGCTCTTAAGAAGATCCATCAAATAAAAAATTGGTAGTGACTGGATTCTCTTAATGAAATTTTCCATATCAAAAAAAGATCATCTTTATCTTATTAGATGTGCATTACAAATAATATACGAACAGTTCTAAACACTTAAAGTTCATTTGCTTCTGAAGAATAACTTGTCTCAAGAAGTTTTTGTAGTAATATAGAAAATACGGAGTATATTTTATTGAAAATAACTGAATTTATATTTTTTGGTTGTACATGGAAAATTCAGTAAAAAATAATTTTTGAACAAAATTTTACTCCCTCCGTCCCAAAAACTCCTTCCCCTTTCTTTTTTTTCTTGTCCCACAAACTCCTTCCCTTTTCTATTAAAAAAATACTTTAACCCCTACTAATCCTTAACCTAACTATCACATCATACATTTTTACTAATAATCTATCCATCACATCCTACTTTTACCCATCACATCAAGGGTATTTTTGGAAAATCAACACAAAAATATCCCTCCCTTAAATTTCCTAAAAATCAAAATGGGAACATCTTTATGGGAAGGAGGAAGTATATTTTTTACATCATATCAAATGGCATTGTTTTCTTACTAATTTTTATATTCTTATGAGTTCAGAAGAAGTGAAAAACAATCCCTTTGAAAAGGGAAAGTTGTTTTCTTTATAATAGTTAGTTTTCACTTACCCCAATAAATACATTTTTGTATAGGGCAAACTATCAGAGAGGAACTCCAAAGATCATAGGCAAAATGTGCACACACACACATATGACATATCAATAGAACTTCAAACATAACTTCAGAATTACCACAAATGATTTCAAAGAAACAAATATACAAAGAACTGTGTAAAAAAGCTACTCCGTGATAAACTAAACATTTACCAGTATATAATAAATTTCAATAAACATCTAAAAATGCTATTAAAAAACCACTCAACATGAAACAAGACTTTGACATACATGTATGAGCTTTGCTTGATTTTGCTGTTGTGGTGCAGTTTCAAGTAACCTTCTCAAATTCACTTCAGATTTGCTCAGACCCATTGTGTGTTACTCTATTAGTCCAAAAAACAGAATAAACACATGTGGATGAAGAATCTATCAAGATTAAAAAAATTTAAAAAAATTAAAAAAGAGAATCCACTGACCACAAAATCTAGTAACGGATTGAAGAGTGGGCTTGCACAGGAGTGTGGAAAATTGGATTTCTTAGGTATCTCATCACAATCTCATACATTGAAAGACTTGGGAACAAATTCCTTCGGAATCGTGAGTTTTTGTTCGAAGATCAATAATTCAAGTTTCAAGGGTATAAATCTTACTTGAGGAAAAAAAGAAACTAAGAAAGGCAAATGGAGAAGAGGGAGAAATGAAACTAGAGATGCGCCCAAAAGAGAGGCTAACTACATATAAAATGTTAGAACCCAAAAGATGAGTTGAATATTCTATGTAATCAAAGGATGAGTGAAAATATGTCACATTTTTATCAAATAAAAATCTTTTTTGGGGGAAATATTTTTGCGTTGTAATTCCTAATACATTTACAATTTGACACAATAAAAAATATGAATTAAATCAACTATATACTGGGCCAGACCGAAGCAGAAACAGGCCCTGTGCCAAAACAAAAAATTGCCCTAAAATTTAAAGAAATTTCATAATAATTATGAATTTGTTGCAATGAAGAAGAAAACATCACTACAAGTTTACGTAAAAAGAGACATTCTCTTTGCACATTTTGATGCAAAATCGTCAATCAAGCTCTCCATTTGCACTTTTTCCAAACTCTCACATTTGAAGATTTTGAAACAATTAGCAATAAAAACTTTTAAAAGAGGAAAAATTAAAAAAACAGGATTTTTTGTCAAACTACAATTCATTAATCGTTCTAATTAAAAATTAAATTTCATAGAACTATAGAAGAAGAAAACATAATCGCACATTTAAAAATTAAAGGACAAATAAAATTAGGGATTTGATCATTAAAATAAATAAATTATAACAAATCATATGTTCATACCTGAAGACTGAAGTGAATGTGGAAGTGTAGGACGGCGTCGCGGTAAGGCGGTCAGCCGGTTCCCTCACTTCCCTCCTTCCGTTTGCAGCTGCTAAAGTGCGAAGCAGGTTTACTATTAAGCAACTCTAATTTGTTTTTCTTCTTTTTACTGCTTTTTATAAAATAAAATATTCCTGACCTCTTATTTTGTAAAATTTTCAAGATAGTTTTTAAATATAATTTTTTATGTGTTTTTTCCAAACCAATTTGCAAATAAACTATTTTAAAATCTATTGGATTTTGTACGTTAATCAAAGTAGAAAATTCTTTAGAACTGAGGGAGTATTTTTTTGGCCACTTTGGGCCTCTTTCTCCGTATTTCTTATTTTGCCTTTAATAAACATCAATAAGGCCATAAAAGTCCAACGATATCAGAGTGATTATAAGAGCATCAACAATGGCAAGACAAAAATAGAATGACACATGGTGACATGGAACATTTTAATCAATTAAAACTAGTACAGTCAACGTGTGGCAAGTAAATAGAGTGGCAAGTCCTACAATGACAAGTCATTATTTTTATCACTTTTTTACAATTTTAAGCTTTTTAAACATAAAAAAAATATTTTTATTATTTATTTTATTAAAAATTATTCTACTTGTACATTTTTTTCATAAAAAATTTTAAAAAAATTATTTTAAAAAAAAGAAAAAAAGTAATATGAAGTGCCACACTCATGCCTCACCAAACAATGCATTTTTTAGCCTTGCCATGCCATGATATGAGTGGAAGAAGCTGATATGGCAGTGCAGTGCATCCATCTTCCTTGCCCTTGCACATGCTCTAAAGCTTGAATATTTGTAGAGACCATAATTTTGTATGTTTTAATATATTTAGAATGTATCAACTTATACTAGATTCTAATAGAGTTCTTAGTATTTGAAAACATCAATAAAGTATTCTAGAACTTATTTTTAAAAAATTTAAACAAATGAATGAAATTTAATCATACAAGACAAATGACTATTATTTTATCAAATTATTTAAATAAAATGAAACAAATGAATGGAATTTAATCATGTGAATTGTGAAGTGTAAACATGCAGCATGTATAGAGTACTTTGATTTCTAATCTACTTTCCATATATAAAAAATTATACTCCCTCCGGTCTAATTTAAATCGCCTGTTTCAGTTTAAGATGTTGGACTGAAATTATTTTCAAAACATTTTATATGAAAAGTGATGTAAAATTAAAAAATAAATTTTACATATTAAAAAACTAAAACAAGAGATCTACAAAACTAGCCACTCTCGCAAGTCATATCGTACACTCGGCCGTGGGGTTCTTCTCGTACAGCCGACGTGAGAAAGCAAGTGAATCACAAGTTCTAGAGACGGAGGTCTGCTCCTTTTCTGCCGCTCTTCACTCTCTGTCCTTTTCGATCTTGATGCTGCGTGCTTCTCTCAGTCGCTATTTACACAATTAAACTTTAATCACCTTCATTACTTATTTTCGTTAGTTATTTGATAAAATAATATAGTCTTGTCATTTCTTGTTTTGTAGAACTTTTGATGCAGTTTTTAAATATATAAATTTTATTTTTTAATTGTACACCTACAACCAAATAAATTGAATTAAAAATAAAATTGGTCAAACCTCATAAACAGAAACGGGAAGAACATTTTAGGAGGAAGGGAGTATTATATTTTTTATCTTATCTTTTACGGAGCAATATTGAGTATTAACTTTTGACTAATGATAGAGTCAGAAACAAAACATTCACAAAATGCATAAATTTACCATTTGTGTATTTTTATTTTTTAATTACTTGAGATCATTATTTCAATATATACTACGTATTTGACAAGTTTGAACATTTTGTGAATGTTATGTTTGTGACTCTAGCATTACTCTTAACTCTTAGGTAAATTGAGGGAGGTGACATTGTTGAGTGAATAACAACCATAACGTAACGGTGAAATGAATATTACGTTATTTCAGAATGAATATTATATTTTTTTATAATGAATATTATATTATTTTATAATGAATAGTATGTTGTTTCAAAATGAACACTACACTATGCGAGGTACATCTGGGTTGGTACTTGAGAATGAGCACTACGTTATTTGACCATGAGCACCGTTTTGTTTCAGAATGAACACTATATTATTTGTAAATGAATATTATAATTGTATTGAAAAAATGTATTAAAATGAATACTATATTATTTCAGAATGAGTACTGCATTATTTCAAAATGAACACTTTTGTTTGTACGAGAATAAGACTACTTTACTTCAAAATGATTACTACTCGTGTGTACCTTACTTCTGGTACAACTGGTTGTACCATACACGGACTTGTGACATAAGTATATTATTTTATCAAATGACTAACAAAATAGAGAAAGGCAGTGAATGAAGTTTGTGAATAGTAAACAATAAATTTAATTTGGAACGAAGAAAGTAGCAAAATGAAAATTTGCAACCAATTATAAAAAATTATACCTCACTAACAAAAATTAATTCCAAAGGAAAAATAAAATTATTTAAATAAAATATAAATGCTTTATAATATTTAGGGCTGTCAAGGGGTAGCCAAAAATCCGATTGTCGTCCGCATCCGTATCCGTTTAAAGAGAAAATATCTGCATCTGATTTAAACGGATATTATCCGTATTCGATTAAGGATATCCGATTACTAAACGGATACAGATTTGGTAATTGTATATCCAATCTGTTTAAAACCTGATCCGAATATGCATCCGTTTAAATAACCGTTTATCCGAATATCCGATCCGTTATATATAGTTTTTCCTATTTTTTTATGTTTATATTTTGTTTCTTTATTGATATTTCAAAATATAAGAAATTTTTTATATACAAAATAAATGTGTAGACACATAAAAATATGTATAGACATATAAAAATATGTGTATATGTGTGCTGTGTATATCTTTTTATCATTTGAAATTATCGTAGAATATCATAAATAATGAAAACAAAGAAAATAATTATCTCATAACAAATTATAGTTGATTTAATAATACTTTGACTTTAATCTAATTTAAAATTCAAGTATTGTCTAATTCGATTCTAAAAATTGGAAACGGATACGGATATATCTGGTATCTGACTGATATCCAACGGATGTGGATATAGTTTTGATTTTCAGTATCCGTCAAGATCCGTATCCGAATTCGATATCCGAAAAAAATAAATAGATGTGAATTTGGTGATGGTACATCCGATCCGATTAATATCCGTTTACACCCCTAATAATATTGTAGGTAGATGGATTGGAGGTGTTTGGTAAATTTAGTGGAAGGAAAAAAAATTGTACAAAATATTTCCCCCCGTGGGAGAAAAATAATTTAGTTTTAATTCGAAAGAAAAATCTTCATTCTCCCATTTGTCCCGTCGCCCCCCCCCCCCCCAACCACCCGCCATCCTTACCTCTGCTCACATACACTACCACCTTCATCCACCCCACTCTCTCATCCCCACTCCTCACCCTCCTACTCTGTTATGTCCACACCCACCAATAGACCTGGCAACAATTGATCCGACCTGTTTTTGACTCGAGATATGATCTGAAAATATTGGATTTTGAACAATGATTTTGCTGACCGAACCCGAAATTACCCGTTAAAAATGGGTCAAACCCTACCAAACCCGAACCCAACCTGACCGGCCTACTATTGTGATAATTTTTCAAAATCATATGCTTTAATATGTAATGTAATGTAATAAAAATAAGAGTTTAATTATATTTCTTTGCTTACTACTTGTTTTTAATATATAAATTTAAATTTTCATACAAAATTTTAATGATATCGCATAATTATCTTACTTTTTTCAAAAGATTACACATATTTAGTTTTTTTATTAGTAATATTGACAATCGGTCATAAAAATTGCTTAAAATTTTAAAAAATAAATGAAAGTCATAACTCGTTGGGTCGATCCAAACTCGATGATATTGGGTTATGAACATGTAGCTCTGAACCCGAATCTGAACTTACTTGAATCCGAAATAACCCGAACCCAAGGTGATCGAAACCAAACCTGATCTGACCGGCCGTTTTACCAGCTCTACCCACCAACCATCCCACCATCACCCCACTACACCCGCCCCATCCTCCTATCCCCACACATCGTTCTTCTTCATTCGACACCCGCCCATGAATCTCGGCCAACCATCCCTGGCCCTGCTCCTATGCTAAAATATTATTGGAATATTAAATTATCTCAAAATATCTTTTTCAATAATATTGATTGAAAAAATATTAATAATCGAAACTAATTTTTAAAGAAAGTACCTTCCTACCAAATAACAAAAAATATGATTGGAAAATAATTTTTCATAAAAATATTTTCTTTCCAACAAAACACACCCTAATTTTCATTTTTTAATAAACCCATAATCATTACCAAAATATGAAATAAACAGAAAAGCTTATCTAAAATAAGCTCATCTTCACTTGATTTTTTAAAAAATTACATATTTCATTGTATTACATAATAGTCTCACTTTTATGTTATTTGAAATTTTCCCTTAAATTTTTAAAATGACTTTTTACTCCCATCATTTCCTTTTCATTTTTTAAAGATTAGTCTTACTTTGTAAAAAAATAAAAAAATTGATCTAAAAATAACAACAATGAGAAACAGAACGAAAGCATAAAAATACTCTGTAATAAAATAAAATGATAATCAATAAAAACTAAACTGAAACTCATAAAAAATAAAAGTATACCAAATGGTGGGTTTTAAGTTTTAATAGCGTTTTAGACACTATATATTACTCCGTATATATTAGTGTCTTTTTCCCGTCTGTAATTAAAAGATGAAAGTAAAATAAAAAATAGGAAATAAAAAGTTATATTCTAACTTCAACACAATTTCGTTTGTAATTTCTTCATAAGAAAAATAATTTTTTCTATTTCTTTAAGGATTTAATACGAAAATAATTATGGAAAATGCTAGGGTGTCACCACATGGGTGCTACCATAGGTGCACCCATGCTTCGCACAGACAAACACAGACGATAATTGTAGAAATTATTTGGGAGGAAAAATATTCTGTATATTGAATTGGTTTGTGCTTACAAAGGTCTAACCCCCTTTATATAAGAAGAGAGTAAAGCATTTAAGTAATTTTTATTCCTACCATATTTCTATTCCTACTATAACAAGAACTAAGCAAACTAGGAAAGATACTAAACCGAACTAAGCCAACACCCCCCCTCAAGCTGGAGCATGAGAGTTCAACATGCCTAGCTTGGACATCAAAAGATTGAACAAAGCAACAAAGCTTGAGGAAGCCGCTGCCATCGTTGTCCAAGTGTCATCTAGACACTTCAGTTTTTTTCTTCAACGGAGACGCCAAGCTTTTCGAATCCGCCGAATAATTAGTCGAGTAAAGGAACGCCATTCTTTTCGAACCTTCACCGTATTCGAACAAACAGGGGGAACGCCATTCTTTTCGAACACCCTGAATGCCGACTTTTTTTATTGCCTGCTAAGGAAAGAGTTGTCTGTCTCTGTAAAACAACCCTTCTCGGACAACTTCTTCAAGATTGATGGTTGGGCGGAATTCCTCGACAGCAATGTTTTTCGTTGAAGGAGTTCATGATATTCTTTAGTGAGGGAGAACAATCAAAGAAAATCAAAAATTACAATATCCCGCCGGTCGGCATTGAATTTTGTATGCCCACCGGCAGGGGGAAGAAGCGTGTTTGAGGTCTCAAAAATTCAAAACTTGCTTTGATACCATGTAGAAATTAATAAGAGAGAAAATAGTTTGTATATTGAATTGTTCTACCAATTACAAGGGGTTTCTCCTTTATTTATAGGAGAGGAAAAAGACCAAAACACAAAAGAAATTCTACTCCTACATGAAAACAAATCACTAAATATGAACTAGGAAACAAATCAAGAGCAATCCCACTTAGAATGGGATTTGCTTTCCTTCTTGTCTTGTGGTCCAAGGAACACGGCCCAACAATAATTGTCTGTGTCGCACAGACAATTATCGTCTGTGTTTGTCTGTGCGAAGCATGGGTACACCCATGGTAACACCCATGTGGTGGCACCCTAGCATGGTCAAATAATCATTTATTTCTATTTTCAGGTTTTACCAGCGAGAAGTAGTAACGTCTAAAACGTCACAACTGACCTCCACACTGTGTATTTTCATTTTTCTCTCTTATTATCAGCTTTATTGAATACCTTTTTTATTAGTTTTTACCAACTAGAAGGAGTAGCTTTTGTTGAATACCTTTTTTTTTATTTCATTACGGAATATTTTTTTCAATGGTTTTAGTTGTGTCTCGTTTTTTCGGAAACAAGACTAATCTTTAAAATAAAATAAAAATTATGAGCGTAGAAAGTCATTTTAAAAATTTAAGAGAAAATTTCTCAAAAATATTAAAAGCAAAAAATTATGAAAAGTAATCTCAACTTTCATTTTATTGTACACAATAGTGCATTTCTGCTAATCAATCGTTAGCAGCTTAACAACGACCTAAAACGTGCACATTTTAATAAAGGTGAGTTTATTATGCATCGTAATGAAAAGTGAGATTAATTTTAAAGACTCGATAATTAAAAGTGAGATTATTCCAGCTAATTTTTTAAAATAAAGTGTAAGGTATTTTTTGAGACATCAAAAAGAGTTGGTTAAGGAAATTTTTTGAATGGGGAGAGCATTGGATTATTGGATATAAAATTCTCCCTCTTTATCTGCGAAGGTATAAAATTCTCACTCTTTATGCACAAACTTACCATTTGGGTATTTTTTTTATTTTTTTAATTATCTGAGACCATTACTTTTTTTTGAAAAGATATGAGACCATTACTTGAATACATTACTTTACATATTTGGCAAATTTGTTACTCCCTCCGTCCCAGAGTATTCGTCCAGTTTTGACTTTTGGAACTGTTCATCTAAGCACTTTGACTCATCAAATTCTCTCAATTTGTAAGCCTAAATATAGTAACGTGTGATTTTGTTTGATTTGTCTTAAAATATAAATTATTAATATATAATTTCTATAATTTTTTAATATACAAATTACAAGATAAAATGGATTAAATAAGTGTATTGGATGGTGTGTAAAAATGAAAGTGAACAAATACTTTAGGGCGGAGGTAGTATTAAGGATAGATAACTAATATTTAGGAAAGATTTAAAATTCACCCAATAATAATATAATGATAAGACACCCCCTCCCCCCCAAATAGGAGTAAATCATTAGTCATATATCCAAAATAGGAGTTCCAAACTTATATGTCCAAAGTAGGAGTAAAATTTAAAATAAAATAAAAACTAAACAAAAGTGGCATATGAGATTACTTTAGCTACTAATTTAAAAGTAAAACAATTCTATATAAAAACTAATTCTTCAGTTTTTTTATGTGATGATTATAATTTTTTTAATCTACTAAAAAGAACAAGAAAAAATTACGCAAAACACTAACTTCATGAACAAATATTTAAAACGTTTTCTTTGGGTGGTACAAAATGCAATTAAGGGATCAAACACTAAACAAAAGATTAGAAGATTTTAACTATAAAGAGACCAGAAATTAAAGAAACTAACAAGGGAAAAAGCTTTCAATACAATGCCAACCAAAGCCACAATGTTAAAAACGATAATACATACTGACAAACATATCATTGCATAATGCCAAAAATGTTAGTGCATAATGTCAAACATGTCAATATAAAATGTCAAAAAGAAATTGAAATGTCAAGATTGCCAACATACAATGTCAAGTTTCTTATTACTATCACCAAATTTTGCTGAAATTGTGAGTCAATTTAAACACAATTAATAGAAAAACAAGCAATCAAATACAAAAATGAAAAGAAAAAACCAAAACAAAAATCAATGCCTAATGAAGCATCGGCGGCTGAGATTCAAATGGTACAGTTTAAGCGTCTCATCATGACGGCAGTGACGAAGATTAAAGAGACATCGACATCGATGATGGTAGAGGCGCTATGTCAGCGGCGGTAGAGGCGCGATATCAGCGGTGGTAGGGGCATTGCAGCGGTTGGGGTGCCGGCGTTGCTGACGGCGGCATGACAGAGTTGAGCAACCATTTATTCCTATTTTGGGATTTACTCAATGTTTTACTCTTATTTTGCTCCTTAACCCTATAATGATATCTATCTTTAATTAGCCAAATACACCCTTGACCCTTATATCCTACCCATTCCTACCATTATTATTCAACTTAGATTTTTTTCTCATGGTATGGAAATTAATGTACTTTTCAAGAAAATTTACAAACATCCTCTTGAGAGCTTTTTTCATAGTGGTAGTTCATTATTCAAACAAAAAAAAACAAAATAAATAAATACAAACCAACAATCTTAAGCACTTGAAACCAAGAAGATGAAAAAAGATACAACAAAGAGGAAAAGTCCTATCTATAGAAAAAGGGAATATTTTCACCATTACTTTCAGAATTGTGCAATTTTACATATCTCCTCTGAGATTCAATAAATGACACCAGTGTTCATAAAATATATACACCATATACTTGCACCGCGTCTATATCGGTGCTCTCAGGTCGTGCTCGTGGTCCGACCAGCATTTGAGCACCGATATAAAGCAGTGACCTCATTTATTGCGTTTGGGAGTAATTACGCAAAAACGCATAATTCTAAGAGTAACGGTGTGAATATTTCCAAAAAAAAAACGCCCGGGAGCTAGCTAGCTTAGCTCAGCTAGCTCCGGCCATGGACAAGGTGATCATACCTCATCTTGATCCACCTAAAGCTCTTCTTGAGAGAGCCTTTGAGCTTCCCCTCCACAGTGTATGCCTTATAGGAAGCAACCCTCTTCTTCCTCTGCATCTCCGCCGGGTCACCCAAAACCCACCCGGCCGACGACGACGAAGAAGGCGGCGTCGGTTTCCCTTTCTTGTTCTTGAAATCATCCTCCCTGCTGTGGTGGTAGTAGTTGGTTTTGTTGTTAGGGTTTGAAATTGGATGGTGAGAAGATGAATATGAGGAAGAAGAGGCACTGTGGCATCTCAGATTCTCAGGTTTGGGGTTTTCATTGTTGTTGGAGAAGATGGTGGTGTTGGTGTGCCCATAGTTGCTGTTGTATGATTTCGATCTCATCTCTTCCATTTCTATTTTGAATTCTCTTTTTTTTTGGGGAGGGTTCAATTAGGGTTCTTGATTACCAGTGGGTTTTTGGGGATTTTGATTTTGATTTTGTTTGGGTTGTCTGGGGGATGGGGGTGGAATGGGGTGCCGTTTTTTTTGACAGAAATGGTAACAGATTCCACGTGCACTTGCAGGATTATGCATGTACTATATACTATATGGAGTACTGTATTTTTCTATCTATGTCTTTATACCCTTTATTTATGTCTTTTTATACACAATTTTCTAGATTGGCTTGGGAGTTAGTGACTTGTGTTGTTTGTTTTTATTATATGAATAATGAAAATAATGAACTGACAACTTAAACTTAGACAGGGAGAGATTGTAAAATATCATATACTCTCTTCGTCTCTAAATGATTTTAAACATTTTACTATTTAAAAATTACAAAAAATTTTTAATATGTAAACTTGTAGAAATTTTGATATATTTTTTAAATATGTAAATTTTATTTTTCATTATATACCAATCTTTAAATAAAATGAATTGAAAAAATTTAGAAATTTACTTCATTTGGCGTAAAGTGTAAATGATTTAAGAACAGATAGAGTGTATGATGTTTATTTGTTGATCTCAATAGTCAAAGTTTTACATCAAAAAGTCAAACTAAAGTATATGAAAAAAATTAAGACAATGATTGCAATTCTTTAATAGAGCATATTCACATATAGAAACTTTTTTTGAATGTTGAGAGACAAACTTGAAAATAGACCATGCACACAAGATTTTAACTACGGAGTAGCATTAAACCGTTCTAAAAAGGATGCAAGTTCATTGTTGCATCAATATGCTTTTTGTTCAAAATTACCCTGAGTATATTTGCCAATTTACAATTTACATCAATCAAAAGTACTAAAAAAATTGCATATTGCTCTGCATTATACAATTAGGGTGCGTTTGGAAAATGATTTTTCGGCTAGCTTTTAGCGTTTTTTGACTAACTTTGACTCTTTTGACTAATCTGAAATTAACGTTTCTTTCTTCTCTAACACACTAATTCAACACACATCAAGCATATAGTATATTACAATGTGTGTAAAAGCTTTTTTTTTCCCTTTTGAAGTATACACATGTCCATTCTTTTTGGACCAAGGTTTCTTGAGTTACAAGTTTGGGAAGTCAAGTTACAAGATGGCTCTGCGTTTTGAGTCAGGGTCGGGATTTTGGCGGGAGTGCTCACCTTTAACTTGCGCCGCCTTCCATGTTCATGAGGGCATGGTAGTAGAGGAGGACACACATAGGTTGGCCGAATATGCTGAAGAAGCACCAGAATATCATATTCCCCACCTGGAAACAGACATTGCCATTATCACCACTTGTAATCTCGGTACTATCGGTGGCATCAAATTTAGTGGGAATTATTTGATCAAAGTTAATTAACACTAAATTTCTTTATTCGAACAAACAAAAAAAACACAACATCATGGGACGAATTGTAACGTTAGAATGTTTTACGCTACGTAATAGACTAACAATGAGGGATCACTATGTTGAGAGAACTAGTGCGCAATTACATTGCCAGATAATTGAAAGATATAAAAAGGGGCCTCTCGGCGAAGCAGGGTATGATTTTTGCAAAATTTAAAAGGGGGCAAACTATTAACATTGTGTTACGAAAGGACTAAAACTCATAGTATGTTCACTAAAAACACATACCATTGAGCTCCTGAACTTGTTTTGTAAAGCATTTGTAAGTATGACGAGAGGGACCTGATTCACAATTTCACATATATATTATATAAGCATTCATCACTACACTATTCTCAATTTTAAACAATTTGTTTTAGAGGTACGTTTTACGTTATACTAAAATAATGAAACGCACCTGAAACATGATTCCGATAAATGCCCAAAACTTGAAACTTTGGCAAGGAACAGCAATACAAAGCTGCAAGAAATAAAATTTTATGTCACTTTAAGGTCAATCGTTGTTGTAAAAGTCCCAGCCTAACCCCGATCAGTCTCTAACTAGGTGCTAGACTGCAGTTTACAGCCCATCATTTGGCTGGTGCTTTTCACAATAATGAATTTTGACTAAAGCTTATGAAACGAAAGAAAAGAACGTCTTGCCTCATGGAAAATAGCAGAAGCGAGAAATGAAATCAAAATGGCAGCCCCCTGCATGGAGAATTAGATGGACATTAATTTTGAGCAACAAATAATTGGTTCAATCAAACCATTTTCAGTTTATCCCAAATGGCATCCCTTCAAATTGGTGTCAAATGGAAGGAGGGGGCTTGCTCCCTCAAGATTATCATAAATTATACTACGGCCATATGCCATTTCTCGTGTTATCAAAACAAACAGAGTTTGACCATCCAAACAGTGTCAGAGATTACTACCATCTGAAGTTGAGTTGTCCTTGAATACTTGGTTGTGAAGCAGAGATGACTAATATACACAGATCAATGGAGAGCCTTATTATGGCAATCCATATTTTACATCTAAATAAACTAACCAAACAAAGACTTCATTCCAATCTGAGCTACATCTTATATCCAAAAATCATAAAGTAATTGAGATAACATAAGCCAAGACCACTAACGACGGTAGAAAAGAAACTAAAACTAGAAGTCTAAGGCTCCGTTTAGTACACGGAATTCAAGCTATGGAATTAGAATTGGGGACAACAATTCCAATTCTGCTGTTTGGTAGCACAAAAATATGTGGATTTGGAATTGGTAGTGCCAAAAATGAATTGGAATTGGAGAATTCAATTCTATCCAAATCAATTCCAAAGAATTTCAACTCTCAATTCAATTCCAATTCCGTCAATTCCGTGTACCAAACAGACCCTAAAGAAATTGGTTTACCTTTGGTATGCCATTTCTTAAGCACGGGAAATAAAGATGTCGAACCATCCACTTATGAACAGGCTGCAATTGTCAAAATGCAATTGTCAAAATTAAATAAGTAATTGCAAACAACACTATGGCAATTAACGCATTCAGTCATAAAAAATGAAATTGTACAAGCATCAATATCAAACTGCAAAAGCAAAAATTGTAAACAATGCATGAAATGCATATCACTAAATAGGAGGCTCTTTTCCTCTATGCAATACCCAATGGCACACAGATGCACTTCATGTGCACAACCAACCTTACTGACAGCACCATTGAGCAGTTGCATTTATTTATACCATGATTGTATGACCCAACAGGAAAATATACTCCCTCCGTCCCTAAAAGAACTTTACAATTTCCATTTTAGGCTTCCCAAAAAGAACTTTACACTTCTCTATTTTCCCTTTTAGGAAAGGAATATGTGATTCTTAATTTTTTTTATCATTTTGCTATGTTCAAAATAAATTTCAATCAGACTTTTTTACTCGTTACCAAACTCTCATTTTTAAGTTTTTTAAAACTCCGTGAAGTCAAACTGTTAACTTCTTTTAGGGACAGAAGGAGAATTTCTTTTAGCTAATAGATACTCCCTCTATTCACATTTAACTCACCATTATGATATATGACTATTGAGATACATCAAATCTTGAATGAATAATGATTTACATCATGTCTAGATTCTTTCAACTTTTGATGTATCACAAAAGTCATAAAGGTCAGTTACTAAACTTACTTTTGAATGAAGAAAGTAGCTTTTTATGCCAAATCAAGGCACAAAATCAACTTGTCTTCTTAATGTATTAGAAGCAACAGATGTATGGCACTCAATTTGAACATGGGGAATTACAAATAAAAGAATTTCAAGTACTCAGTAATAATCTTGGAGATAATGAAATACTTAGAAAAACGGTTCTCAGAGAAGTTGATAACATACCATATTCCACATTCTCCAGTACTGATCACAGCATCCATGTCAGGGAGATCAAACACAATAATGGATCAAACCTCTGAATCTCTGATTAGTTGTGCAATATATATTATAGAATAATAATAGACAAACACAGATCCACATTACCTCATCAATTGTTTTTGCATTCCACCAATCTTTGTAAAACTCGCGATCACCAAACCGCAGAAGTTCTGCAATAATATTTAGCCTGCATAAAAGTAGAAAAGTATTTTAATTTCTTTCTGAGCAAGCATACAAATTTTGTTTTCAAAATAATACTCCCTCAGTCCCCTAAATATTATTCACGTTCCTTTTGCATTCCCAAAATCATCGACCACACAAATTTTTAAAGCTGCGTGCCCGGTCAAAGTGTGTTGAAATAAGGATGGAGTAACTTTGTATAAGCTGAACCGAGAAGATTCAAAAGCATATATTCATTGTACTTTCATCTCAAATCACTAAATATAGGTTAATGTATTTTATTATGTATCTGTGGAAGCTGGTCCTAGTTCAAATCTTTGAAGATTTTGATGCCAAAAGAGAAAATAGTGGTTGAATCTTTTTAATCTTGAATAAAGACAAGTACAACTAAGAAAATTTTGTCCATATCAAGATTGGGGGTTCAAGCTGCTGACACATCGGCCCTTCCCCGGAGTCAGAGCCTGTGCATGCTGAAGCTCATAGGGTTTCACTTTTTCTATCATGCACATTTGGTTCAGTCAAGTAGTATGGTTTAGTGAAATAGTGTTCCACCATACCACAACCAAGTCTTAATCTCAACTCAATGGGTCGGCTACAAGAACCATAGAAATCTAACGAGGTTATCCACTAAAGTCCTGTTTCCATTCTTTTCTGTCAAGCACCCTTTTCTCAATAAGCCCCAACGCTCTAACATCCCTCTTTACACATCCCAGGTTATCTTCAGTCCACTTCAACTTCTTTTTTAAGTCTCTCACACTCCAAACTTTCACTCTCCATATCACATCACCTACTTCCCGGCGACTTGTGTGCCTGAACCAACATAACCATTTCTCTCTTATGTTATCTTCAATATCATTTACCCTAACCATCCCACGGATTTCCGCGTTGCACACTCTATCTTTTCTATTCCTACCAGACATCTATTGCAAAATAAAAATCTTTGCCACATTTATCTTCTTTCTCAAACCTTTCATTATTCCTCAACATTTACATCCATATTATAAAACTGATATAAAGCATTCACATTAAATTTTCATTTCAATCTTAGTGGTACATTTTGATCACATAGTACTCATGTTGCTACTTCCTTTTAAGCCTAAGTGCATTAGTCAAATGTGTAACTTCTTTGTCAATACCTTCATTTCTTTGTATAATAAATCTTAAGT